GATGCTGAGGTCCAGAGAGGTTGAGCCACTTGGCCATGGTCACACAGCTGTATTTGATTTGCCAACGGAGGCAGTTTGGGAACATCTGGATTGGGAGGGGTTACTGTAGTCACTGAAGTTTTTGAAGAAGTGACACTTTTCTCCTAGAAACCAAATCAAAGCAGACAATGATTTGGATGGAGTGTTGCTGTCCAGCCCTGCCACACCAATGGTCAGTCCAGGGGTGCTTTTTAATGGGGTGCAGATGGTTGGAGGAGCTGGGTCTTCTGCAGAGTGGCCTGGATGACTTGTCTTCTATACTTGCCTTGCTCCGTGTTCACTAAGAAATGTCAGAGGACAAGCTGCTGTTGCCGAGGTGGGCAGTAACTGCACGGGCTGCTCGATCTGCAGCTGTGCTGACAGATGGCCATTTGGTATGGATTGGGACCCAGTGAATATGACAGTTACTGGGGTGTCACTGTTACTCTCCTCTCTCCAAGATGCTACAGGCTGAGACCTGTGACCAGCAGGACTTTTGGCTGGGCAGTCTCGGACAGCTCCTTCCTTGCTCCTTGGAGCACATAGAGACTTGGGCTTGTGAAGGACCTTGTCATTTTTTTTTTTTTTTTTAATGACCAAATCATGATCTCATATCAACATCACTGTCATTCTCAAGACCAAGTTTGGTAGGCAAGCAACTGAACTGGAGTTCAGTGTTTGGTTGGAATCTGTAGGTCAGCGTCACTGATATGGGAGCTAGAAATTTTTCTTGTGCAAACAGGGTGGAATGTGTCGATTATAGGATTAGGTATTTGGGAGACTCGAGTGGGTAGATGTTAAGAGGAGGGGAGCGGAGGGAAGCGTGTGCCCTGAGGTAGTGAGAGCAGATGGAGATGGAAGAGGCATCTACTTTGAGGGTGTGGAGCTGTGATGTGCACCATAGAACATTCTGGAAGGCAGGACGATGGGGCTTGGAGAGCAAAGGTGAGGGTTCAGGCCTCCACGTGTTCCCCTGCTATTGTCGGGTGGAGAGGCAGGCTGCTGATTCGAGGGAAAGCCCCAGCCCTGGGGGTGCCAGAGCCCCTTCCAAGGAGGCAGGGGCATGTTGGGGAGCTCCTGATCCAGG